TGCCGTGGATGTTATTTCCTTTGGCAGCTGCCTAAAGCTTGATCTTATAGTTTGGCCTTTTGGACTATCTTTATTCTCAGAAGGGACAGATCTTCAAACTCTAAGGTATGGCAACCACAGGGGCTATGGGTAACCTCGGCATGTGAAACGGCTTTTCAGCAGTCCCCAATATTATAAAGTCAAAATTGAGTTTATTCCCGCTGACCTCTGTTCTCCATAACCTCGGAAACTAAGCCTTTCGGAATGTCTTCATTGATATAAAGAGTAATAGCAGGATAATTATCAATTGCTCAAACAAAAGTCCATATTAATATGTGTAAGTAAGCCTCGCAATCGTACTTCAATCTGAGGGTTTAAATGCCAAGAGCGGTGATGTCAAAGTGTGACGTTGGCTAACCTTTCCCTGTTATGAACTGGAACTTCCGATTTATCAATATCTATACGAGATTGAATGTCTGTAGGCTGAATTCATTAAATAATTGAAAATAAAGTCAATAAAATACCTGCAGTAACTCCAGATATGTACTCTGGTCCCTCCTCAACCAAATCTCGAGGCACTGGGTGTATGGACTAGGTAATATGGGTGCGATGAGGCCAGAAAAACTTGAGGCCATGACTATGGAATATCCAGGTCTTGATAAGTATATCACAGAATGCTCATAGTATGAGACCGATCTCAAAGACGATGCTGCTCCCATAATCTGCCTAGTTGGGCTGGTGGCTATTTATTTTATTTCTCGACGTCTAGTGACGCTTGTTTTCTTTGAAGGGGCCTCCGTAATGATCGTCATAAAAGCTGCCCTGGCGACTAGCTTACAAATAGCCATATCCGATAAGTTACCCTTTGCCGCTTGCATGGACAACTGACTAGAATCGGCGAGTGCTTTGACCCGCAGGGTTGAAAATGAGGCCCTCCATCACTTTTCGTTCTTTCAAGCATTCTATCTATCTGATTTGCCGAGGCAGTGAAGGTCGTCTCCACTGAGCCTGGGCAGTTGTAGAAATGACGGCAATAACAGGGCATGCACGTATCACGACAGGGAGTTAGAGTGGCTCATTGGTCAGTCCAGTATCGGAGTCCTGTCATAGCTGACAGCCGATAGCTGACAGTGGGCAACTGGCTCATAGCTTCGCTCAACAACCATTGTTGGTAGTTAAGCCCTTAACCCCATGGTTCTGCAGCAAGGTCGTTAGTCGCCGCACCAAAACGACATATTTGACCCTGAGAAGTAGTTTCGCAACTACAAGTCCGAGGTATGAATAAATATGAGTAATTACTTTTATGTCGGTCGGAAAAGACCGAACTTGTGCAGTTGCTTCCCTATCCGACCAACCCCGATGCATGTATGCAAGCCGCCACTACACTTTGATAGGTCATCAAGTAATGGCGCTTCTTACATCAAGGCGGAAACGAGGCAACAAGGAGAACAAACGGAATATTTGGCATGAATTGTGGTGACGCGGCCATGGTTGTCGAAGCTTTTCATTATCATACCACGTATGCATATGTTATCGGATCTCTCGCCATATTTTACATAAAACTCCAGTTGAGAAAAACGGTCGACTTTCAAATATAAGTCACCTACGTAATTCTCAACCATGGCCTTGTGCGATTATTGCCGTGCCATCGACTTTTCCGCTTTGCCGGCACACCCAAGATGGGATCAATTTTGTCGAGCCTTCGACAAAAGTCAGATAAACGTGCTCAAGATCAAACAGGAAGACAGGGAGACTAAAATCGACAACGAGCTCGGGGTTTCCTGGCAGGATAGCCTCGATTCATTGGCAGAGTCCGCTGCACTAAACTGCTCTCTGTGCACTATCGTTTAGACCGCCGTTGAAAATTGGAACGATCGACGCTCGGCTAGGAAAACAGGAAATCCCCCATAAGGCACTTAGCTCACAATACGATTCTGCTTTGCCAAATAAGAGATTATTTGTGACCCAGAGGTTTGGGAGAGGGCCTGGATTTGTTGTTTTTATCCCATATAGTGATGACTAGCGTTACTGCTAGGAAGCGTTACTTTTACAGCTAATGAAGCTAGTCTTTTGGCTAGAGAACTTTACTTAAGGCCATTTTGTGAGGATTTTAGGTCACCTAGAGCCCTCCTTATTGTAATCTTATGGCTTAAAAATAGCCAGGATAACCACGAGAAGTGCTATTATAGTCATATAACTCTACCCTTACATATACTTACTGTTAGCTGCATTAGTGACAGGAGCATCAAGCTTATCGAGCCTGATGCAGGCACTGTGGGAAAGTATGCATCTTTATCGCACTACTAGGGTAAAGTACTAATATTAACCACAACTCAAACCTTGCATTACGCATATATATCTGGTATATTCGTTACAGACCTGCCCAATACTTTTCGAGATGCGGTCGCGGTATCAAGATATCTTGGTATCCTATTTCTTTAGATAGACAGTCTTTATATTATTTAGGATAACCCTGAAGACTGGGCGCGTAAGTCGTCTTGAATGATGGAGGTGTACTCTAATGTATACGTGGTAATTGCGGCGAGCTATACTAGAGACTTGGCTGAGGGTTGTTTCTACGTTTGTCTGTTGCGTATTAGTGACAGCTTGAGAATACCAGGTATTGGACTCGTTGACGTGCAACTTGGTGCGAATAGCGACGAGCTTCTCTATTACAATTCCGAATTTTTCCACAAGCCCCTTTTAAAGCGTGTATAGGCACTGCAGGAGCCGTTTCTTATCTGCGCGTACGATTTATTATAACATAGAGCAAATGTATTTTGAATGTCGGCACGGTATAGTAGATGAGGATGGGTGTAGGTCAAATAGGCGTTACTGTAACTTAAGCCCTGGTATGTATTATCGGTGTTCCGCTTGCAAAGCTCTCCAGATTTGGTCTTCTATGATCTGGAACTACGGTGGACGGTATTTGACCAAACCTATATGTAGGTTCCTGGCTATAAGTGGCATCGCCAGTACCTTAGGCTGTCTGCTTAAAGATGAGTATGTGGCAGGACTATGGTCAAGCGTGATGGTACAAGAAATGGCTTGGCAGGATCTTAAGAGGAAAAAACCAGCTTGGCTAGAGAACTAATTAAAAACTGAGTTAAGGGTTATGTGGGCTTTACATAAGACTATTAATTTTACTAATATAGTTTAGTATAAGACTACTCTATATTAGGTTTACTAGTATGGTTTAATATAAGACTATTGGTTTTACATTAAAATTACTAATACAAAATCGCACATTGTTTAGAAATATAGGCTAAAAAACAACTAATTAAGGAGACGCTTCCCATTTCCTAACTTCTCTGTTGTTTTGTTAGCCTTTACTCTTGCCCAGTCAATCTATCTGACGTCCACTCGTTACTTAAAAACCACTCATTATGGTTGCCCTTCATTCTGTTTTTGTATTCTGTGCAGTCGCTAGCATTATATCTGCGGGACCATGCAAGCCTGGAAGCTCCATCTCGCTCTCGCTCTCTGAGACCAGCTCTGCGGCCTCCACCACAGAGACTACATTGCTTGAGCCAACCACTACTGCGCCCTCAACCACTCTGGCTGAATCTACTTCGACCGACATCACAGTCGAGACTAGCCTTGCAGAGACGAGTACAGAGGCTGCCTCCGACACCACCTCTGCAGCCACTGTCGAGCCAAGCACCACTACCTTCGTCACGTCGATCGCAGATACAACTACTACCGAACCAGCCACGACCACAACTTCAGCGCCGCTTAGGTGCATCCCGGATCAATGCGTTGGCACCATCAAGATTCAATGCGATGTGGTCATCTATAGCCTAGTGGATTATGTTAACGCCGACAATACCCAAGCTTGCGCAGACCTTTGCAATGCAGATGACAATTGCCAGGCCTTCACATTCGATTATAATTTCAAGTGGTGTTATAAGACTGCCAGTCTGGAACAGCGAGTTGTTGGGCCTTATGAGGGTTACGATACTGGAATTAAGGGAACATGTCAGGTCTAACGGTCATACCTAACCAAAGACTGGGCTATAACTGCTATTGCAGCAATAACAGTAGTGTGTACAGCTGCTTATAGAAGCTTTGTAGCGCTGTTACGGGCACGAATCGTAACATCAGGGCGGCAACTGAGATAGATACCTTGGCTAGATTAAGGTACCCTTATTGGACTGAATTAGATTTATTTCTATAGTATAGTTATATTAAAGTTATACTTGTTTTCTCCTTAATAGTATTACTTACTTTATATATATATACTAAATAATATTTACTGATTCTACTTTAAATTTTAATTTAGTTCAATAATATTAAGGAAAGTAATAGACTTCCTATAGCTTGTATAACTAAAATGCAGCCTTGGTAAAAATATTACTTCGAGTTTTACTACTACTGGGGCTATAAATTATGGCTATGGCTAGGAGTTTTTAGAGAATTTAAGGTCAATTAATTACTTTCTATATACTTCAAAAATCACAACACACTACAACGCATCCTGACAACGCAACCAATATGTCACCAGCACTATCCAGACCGAAGCTACAAGGCTTCTAAAAGTGCTAATCAGTAACGAGAGATTACTAATTAGCCCTGAAGTGAAAGAAGCTTGTGAACATGTCCACTTCAGTGGATGGAGACCGAAACCTCAACCTATCGACAAATACATAGGACGAAGCTGGAGTTGGGCAAGCTTTCAAGGCATCGCAGCGCTTGATATAAAGTCAAATTAAAGATTAATCGCCATGGTAGAGGACTGGCATGTTAAATTGACGAACCCGGAATCAGCAAGACGAAGTGGTGTAGTGGAGAAGCGGTGGGACAGTTTGGAGAGAAAAGCCGACGCAGCCGGGAAGGCGCAAAAGAGTAGCCAAAGAGCAAGATGAGTGTGATTAAATACACCAACCTCTTGAACGCAGAGCGTTGGACTTCCTCAGCTTCATCATTCCTACCTGGGCATTCCCGGTCCTGCTTGACATCATGACTAGACGGCTCCACATATTGTCTTTCGAAACAAAACTCAATGAAATCATACAAGTGCTCTAGGAAATACATACTTTAATCCTCCCCATTCCTTGCAAGGAGATAGCCTCTTCACTACTACTATCCTTGACTAAATCAACCAAAACCACTCTTTGCTTGTACTGGCAAGGAACCATGAACGAACCATCCTCAAGCTTCTTCGGGTTAGCGGTCCTCAGAACGCTGATGCAAGGTGACGCGCTCCCCTTCGGCAGCGGTTCGTTTGTTAGCAGCATGTCGCATTCGTACTCTTCTTCCGAATCTGACAAGCCGCGAACTTCAAAACTCTTTCTGGTCTCTGGATGCCACAATTTCCAGGAGCTCCTGGCCTGTAGCGTTTGTTTGCGGAAATAAAAGGACATGTATGTAGCTTCAAGGCCATAAGGGGTGCAGATTCCGTCGTTTTCATATGTAGAGAGATCTCGCCCCCCAAGACTTCCCCCATGAGCCCCCATAAACGACTTTGGGGCCCATCGATAGCCCGGTATATCTGTCTTGTCTCCTCCAAGAAAAACAATGTTTCTTGGAACCTCCCTTAGCTCTTCGAATAGCCTTATCATACGTTCCTGGGCTGGTAGTTCTAGGAGGATCCCAGGATCTACACCCAGTAAGCTCGCGATTGCCAGTGTCTCGTCCGAGGCCCTGCTGGTGTCTCTCCAGCGAAGCGATCGGGAAACATCGCCAATCTTGAGATCTTTGTACTGGCTCTGCTTGATTAAACGGAAAATCTCTGCCGCCATATCCCCCATATATGGATATAATTCCAAGTTCTCCCTGTTTGGAATCAAGTCTCTCAATGGCACGAGAGCGTCGGCGAAGCAAAATAATACCTTGTCAGCTAATACAGCTTCTTGCAGTGTCCAGAGTCGACCCATCCAACCAGAGGTCAAGACGTATAGCAGCCTTGAAGCCTCCGGATCCGATGACAAACAACGCTGCAGGCCGCTGTCCAGAACCAGTACAGCCTTTGCTTCCTTATAGGTGCGTGCCATCATCCTTATGGCTTTCTTACGGTGCTCCCTTGCTTGGGGAATGCATAAGCTGTCAATCCAGAATGCCCCTTCTGGGTTTGACTTGAATACCATGGCTGCTAGTCGGGCTAATTGACAAGTGGGGAGTCCAGTCTCAGTATTGCTCCCAAGTCCATCAGCCCAGACGTGGGAGATAGCTACGTAAGCCAAGTCTGATGATTTGAGTACCTCCAAGCCCCCCAAAGCGTCCTCAGACCTGTTGGCTATGCGAATGACAGGGACTTGGTTCCGAGAAATGAGGTTTTCGACTTGACCAAGGGCAGGCTTTTCAAATTTGCAGTCCTTTGAAGCGGACTCCTTGCAGGACTGAGTGTGCTGTTGAGTGTAGGTGCTGTCGTCGACTCGGTTCGCCACACACTTAATTCGCTGACATGTAGCATGATCTTTTCCATCCGACGGTGGACTATGTTCACTAACGTACTTTACACAAGAGACAGATTTAGTATTGAGGAAATACTCGATAGTGAAGGGACACCAATTGGATTGAAGCATCGACTCTCGCACTTTGTGTCGGTAATCCTCTACCAGTACCATAGACCAAGACAACGGTGTCGGTGGCCGAGAGTCGCAGTGAACCGTGTTCATCGCATTGGTAAGAGCCTCGCCGACTAGAGCGATGAATATGACCATTGGTTGCTGATCATCACCCAAAGAATCGAATATGGCAAAACGCGAGGTGAGAAACATGATCATCATAGAATGTGCTTGGACGAGACTGGCCCGCGCTCGTTTCAACCATAGCCGGCGTGGTTCCAATTCAGTTTGTCGTATGCAGGCAAGCCACTTCTGAATGATTCTGGGGAGGTTATCCAGTGACAAAACAAGTATTCCACCATTGCCTCTTTTGAGGAGTTCGTGTTCCGGGACCTGATTCTCAGTCACAGCCTCTATCAACCCGAAAGTCAGTAAGCTTTGGGTGCTGGCTCCTATATATTTCCAGCGTTCATCGGAAGGTTCTCCATCCCTGAAGTTTCCAGATAGGCTTCGAGTCGATATGTATTCCTTTAGAGGCTTTATTTCAAAGCCATCGTGGCGAAAACCAAGCCATTTGGGTGCTTTGAAAAGGCTACACGTCGAGCTTAAAGTGTTAGGTGCTTGCATCAGGCTTGACTTAATCGGGTAATGGAAATTATGTGTTTCCAGATTTTGCCTTGAGTGTGGCAAGAGGAGCGTTGGAAGCTTTTTATGGTAATGATCGAGAGACGATTATTGATAAGAGATCAATTTTGTATGTACAAAACATGTGGTAAGTCGATACCATTATCCTTCAGCCTGACCCAAATGCGTCGGAAAAGACACGTGTAACACGGGCGACCGATGAGCTAACTAAACATAAGACAGCTTACAAAGCGCCTATCGACTCATGGCTTGCATAGAATTAACCCTCTTTACACTATCTACTCTACATAGACGCTCACATCAGCAAAGGTAATTGATATGATAGAGTTAGAAACAATGTTTCATTGAATCTACAATTTCCTCGCTATGTCCAGGGTAGTCTAGCTGATGGTGCGACGTGGCGTCGACGGTTCATCCGCAGCCCGCATTCCAGTGGCCTCGGTGGCGTCTTTCAAAAAGCCCTTAGCCCCAACGAACCGCGCGCTAACAAACGGGGTTCAATAAGCGCCAGATCCCCAAGCCATTTGTTTCAGGTCAAGATTTGCTTCGAGGATCAATGACGATCATGTCTTGCAATTATTCTCAAGCGCTTCAACCCATATCATTTCCATCTCTTCCAGATCTATTTTCTCTTGTCTTTCCCCGCTGGATAAATGATGCCGAACACGAGGTTGTTGGTTGACTTGAACGGGGCATATACCTAAGAAAAGAATCACGTCCCGCTTCTTCTGCAAGAATAAAAAAAAAACCTCAGAACATTCTATTCTCAGTTCCATCTCGTAAAAAACTAATGCACAGAATCGTGAATTGACGTGGTTGGACTTTTTTTTGGGGGGAGATCTAATCTAGACCATCTTGGCAGACGACGACTGGATGATTCGATGAGGGCTTAAACTTGCAGGGATCATCCCAACCAACCAAGACGTGCAGGCCCCTCGATTTCTGTTTATAGCCGCTGAGTGGCCAGAGAGATCCAATAATAGCACACAGTCACAGCACCTCAGCGGAGTCGTGCGTCGCAAACACGAGGCCTTGTGCATGTTTCGTGTGCGTGAACCTTGATTCTCTCCAAGACATTTAGTTATTGTTAGAACCGTTTCTTATTCAGCGGCCTATCCAGGGTCAACTCGACCCCATGTCCACCTGCACTACAGTAACTCCGTTTTTTACGACAGGCCACATCATGAAATGATCGGCACAGCGTTTCTACTGCAGCTGTATTTTTGGAACCGAGCCGCCTGGGTATCTCGGATGTCCAACAACCATGTCTCTGATCCACTACCAAAACGCACGCGCTTTCTGCCCAAAAGACTCTCTCTCATCCAACCACCCATCGACTGACCGCCCTGTCAGTTCCCGTTTGGGCAGATCCGGAATGACCTCACCCTGCTATGTTTTGTATGCAAGCGCCCGTATTCCCACTTCGGGCCTGCATGGCCATGGAGACGCTTCCAAGTTTGGATCATGATTGATTTGCGCGTATGACTTACGTGGAGAAACAATCCATCTTCAGCTGAAATTGTAACCTGACAGCCGATCTTGAGATTGGTATAAAGATTCAGGCTACACCAGCTCGTTACACATTTTTTCCCTCAGCAACAATTCACTTTCGTTTCACATAAACAAACATTTCATTCGCTTCAAACATTCGTTGAAACAGGAAAGATGAGAAGCTTCTTTCTACTCAGCGCCGTCGCCTTTAGCGCGGCCAACGCTGGTGTTTTAGACTATCGTCGTCAGCCAAGGGGAGACTACAATCTTCCTCCGGCCTTGACAACTTCTGTCTATCAACCCCCGGCCGTCTCTACTGATCTCTATCCTCCTCCCGCTCAGTCTGCCAACACTGAGCCTACTGAGCAAGAGACTTCTCCTTATGTTCCTCCTTCGGTTCCTACTGTCGCTACTTCCGAGCACCAAGAAACTACCAACTATGCACCTCCCGAGTCTGCAGCTACCGACAGTGCTAGCAAGCCTGTTGAAGACACTTCTATTGTCGAGACTCCTTCCAACGCTTATCCTCCTCCTGCCAACACTCAACCTGGACAAGACACCACTGAGGCCTCAACACCAACCGGAGCCTACCCCCCTCCCGTGAACACTCAAAAGACAGAGACTGAGCAAGAGTCTTCTGCCGTTGTCACATCTGAAGAGTCCACTCCAACTGGTGCTTACCCTCCTCCTGAGAACACTCCATCTGAGTCTGAGCATGAGTCTACTGCTGTCGAGACTACTGCCGTTGAGACTACTGCTGAGGGTAAAACCTCAACTGATCTGTATCCTCCTCCTGCCAACACCGAGACCACCAAGCCCGGCAAAGATACAACTGAGGCTCTTACCCCCACTTCCGAGTACACTCCTCCCGAGAGTACCGATGTAACCCAGCAGGGATCTACCGATGTTGGCAGCTCTACTGACGCGTATCCCCCTCCCGAGGGCACCCCCACAACCCAGGGTACCACGGCTGTTTCCGAGACCACCAAGCCTGCCGCTGGCACCTCAACTGATGTCTATCCTCCTCCTAAGGGTACCGAGACTACCGATACTGGTGTTGAGACTGAAACTGGTAGTGCTTCTACTACCCAGTGGACTACCTCAACTGTCTACACCACCAATGTATACACTGTCACTTCTTGCCCTCCCGAGGTTCCCGACTGCCCCAACGGTCAGCATGTCACTACCAAGACCATCGCTGTGTCTACTACTATCTGCCCTGTCACCGAGACCAAGCCTGTGACCGAGCATGGCGAGACCGGTACTCCCACTTATCCTGTTCCCGGCTCTACCGAGACTGAGCACCAAGGTACCGAGACTGCTACTGTTTCCAAGCCTGGTGAGACCGAGACCAAGACTGAGTCAATCCCTGAGGAGACTGAGACTTCTCCTTCTACTGGTGCTTACCCCCCTCCCAAGGTTACCACTGGCACTACTGAGGGAGCCGAGACTGAGACTACCAAGCCTGCTGTCGGTACATCCACGGGTGTCTATCCTCCTCCCAAGGCCACCACTGAGACTACCGAGGGTACTGAGACTGAGACTGTTCCTGCTGAGACTGAGACCACTAAGCCTGCCGTTGGTACCTCAACTGGTGTCTACCCTCCTCCCAAGGGCACTGAGACCACTGAGACCGGTGTTGAAACCGAGACTGAGTCCCTCCCTGCTGAGTCTACCAAGCCCGCTGTTGGAACTTCAACCGGTGCCTATCCTCCTCCCAAGGTCACCACCGAGACTGCCACTGCCAAGACCGAGACTATTCCCACCGAGACCAAGCCCAACACTCAGCAGACCAGCCAGTGGACTACCTCAACTGTCTACACAACCAACATCCGCACTATTACCTCTTGCCCTCCTGAGATCCCTGACTGCCCCAACGGCAAGCATGTCACAACCGAGACTATCGCTATCTCTACTACCGTCTGCCCTGTGACCGAAGCCGGATCTACCAAGCCAGCTACTGTCACAAAGGAATCACCCACTTATCCTGTTCCTACCCAGGCTACCGAGACAGAGGGCCAGTCTACTGTACCTACTACTGAGATTGAGGAGTCTACCAAGCCTGTTACTCATCATGAGGGATCTACCAAGCCTGCTACCGAGACAGAGACTAAGCCTGCTACTGAGACCAAGCCTGTTGAGACCAAGCCCACTTACCCGGTCCCCACAGAGACTAAGCCTGCCACTGAGACTGAGACTAAGCCTGCTACCACTGGCGGCGAAGAGCACCCAACCGAGACCAAGCCTGTCACCGAGACGAAGCCCGCTACTGAGACTAAGCCCACTTACCCAGTTCCTACCGAGTCCAAGCCCGCTAGCACCACCGAGTGGACTACCTCAACCGTCTACACCACTACCATCCGCACTGTGACCTCTTGTGCTCCTGACGTTCCTGACTGCCCCAACGGTAAGCACGTCACAACCGAGACTATCGCCATCTCCACCACCGTCTGCCCCGTAACCGAAGAGCACCACACAGAGACGAAGCCAGCTCCCACCAAGCCTGTTGAGACCAAGCCTGCTACCGAGACGAAGCCTGCCACGGAGGGACAGTCCACCAAGCCTGTCGAGACCAAGCCCGCCACTGAGACAAAGCCCGCTACTCAGACTCAGCCCACTTACGCGGTTCCCACTGAGACTAAGCCCGTGACCGAGACGAAGCCTGCTACTGAGGGGCACTCCACCAAGCCCGTTACTGGTGGACAGTCTGAAGCTGGATCTACCCAGCCTGCTTCTACTACTGAGTGGACCACTTCAACTGTCTACACGACTACCATCCGCACTGTTACATCTTGCGCTCCCGAGTTCCCCAACTGCGAGACGCCTACTCCTCATGTCACTACTGAGACTGTTGCCATCTCTACCACTGTCTGCCCTGTTACCGAGCAGCACCAGACTCAGCCTAAGCCTACGGAACACAAGCCCACTCAACCCAAGCCCACTGAGTCTCAGCCTAGTGAGACAGCCAAGACTACTGGATGGTCGACTTCTACCATTTACACCACCAGCGTTCGCACTGTCACTGCCTGTGGTCCTGAGTTCCCCAACTGCGAGACACCTACTCCCCACGTCACTAC